GTAAAATATCCAATACAACCATCAAGGAAATTGAATTATATCTTAAAATAAAATATATTAATCCAGGTACCGCTATCCAATATTTGGAAAAAAATTGGCTGGAGTCAGACATATTTTTCTAGCTCTTCTTCTGGAGGTTCCAATTTATCTAAAATTCCAAATACTGTATCAGATAACAGAATCCGCTATAGACAACATTTCGATTAGCATAGTCTACATAGGCAAAATTACTTGTTCTAGATATGAGCACTGATGGCTATTTTATTTTTTTCAATTAAAGGTAAAGCATATATTAATTATGGCGTATACAAGCATTTTTAATATAGCAGAACTATTAGAGCAGATTTTATATTTCTTATAATAGATAAATCTCTCTACCCAGCTCTATTTATTTTCCGATTTTGGTACAGATGTAATGCACTGATTCTGTGAAAGTGTATCGAATTAAGAGAAAAAGACTTATATCCTAGGCAATTTTTTCTAAATGATTATAACTACTGTGCAAAAGATTGCTCTTGATTAAATAAATTCATAAGAATAGAACATGCAAAGGATCTCTTTCAATTAAAAAAATTCATAAAGCTAGTATATAGGAAGCAAACGTCAGTTTATTGCTCAAATGTAACTCATCTCGAAATATCATACTACTATTCACTTTCAAATAAAAAATCATAAGCATTGTACATTCATGCTATTAGCTTAAACAGTTCATCGTTAAGTTAACTAAAATTATTTGCTAATAGGGAGTTTAAGTGCGTCTAAATTATAGAAGAAATAAACACGGATTAATTATATTAAAGGGTCAGGTCGTCTTTATCGATATAGATTTAAAGAAGTATGAAATTATATATTGAGCAAAGATATAATTATTAAGAGATAAATGTTATTGATTTATTAGAGAATTGTAGCGACTCTGCTATTTATTGAGGCAGAAATACAAGATATTTATATAAAATACATCAATATGAAATAGATATTTAATATAGTAAAGAAAAATAAGAAATATAATATAAATAAGAAATTAAAGATATATAAGATATATAAGAAATTATAGATCACTAAGATCGCTAAGAAATTAGAGAAATCATAGAAAGTTGAGATCCATGATCAACGGGATCATCATTCACTAATTGTAATTGACGCAATATTAATGCGTCATAATTAGACTATCACTAACAATGCCTAAATATAACCCATTTGAATTTCATAAATAGCATAAGATTTAGTAATAAAGTATTAGAACTAATAGCAAATTCATACCTGAATCTGAAATATTTCAATCTGTGTAATAATTAGTCAGGTCGCTTTAGAAGCTTTCATGCTCGAGAAGTGGATGATGAAGGTCTATAGAGAATCACACAGTCATGCTATAAATTAGAATATTTAAATATTGCCTTTTATATAGAGATTTTTGAACATTCATTTGTGGTATTATTCGTTTCTTTCCAAAGCTCCAGCATCTTGATATTATCTTTTGTGAAATTACTGATATAACAATCAAAGAAATTGCCAATTCGTGTCTTAATTTAAAGTATTTCAATTTGGAAGGGTGTAATAATGTTAGTAAAGAAGCTATAGATCAGCTCATTTCACTTAATCAAAATATTCATATTGAGAATTTCATGTGTACTATAACACTAGCCTCTTTTGGTGCATATCCTGTGATGTATGAACTGTTAAGAAGACTGAGAATGTCAGTTGATACACCAAAAGATATTATGTTTATACATAATTATGTTAACGATGAGCTAATGAGAAGAATAGACATTATTAGAGCAAGCGTTAGGTTTCTGTAAATGATCTGATCCAGAGATATTTTTTGTTGAACCTCACATGCAACAATAACCTTATTTTTCAATTGAAAATTCTTCTAATTATATAAAATGCATACTACTAATTTGCTTAATCGGCTTATGCCTAAATTAATACCCTTTATTCTAAAGAATTTATCAATATAGGATCTCTATAATTGTAATAGCATAAATGATATATGAAAAAAAGAAGTAAATCTCAAACTGATTAAAAGACCTGAAAGAGAGCAACTTATATATTGAAATCTCATATTCAAAAAGTTGTATTACCAACCTGAAGGTTTTTATCAAACTTCTGAAAAAATGTGGGATGTCTATGAGAAAAGGTCTCTCTAATACCAGATTGGATATAAGTTTACTCTTACAGAGATTGAAGATTGGCTAAACAAACAAGTTGTATATCAGTTAAGATTCAAGACTTCGCAGATGATTGCTCGTCCATCCTGATTTAGGCCAATTCAGAGCTATGATCATAAGTTCAGAAGAATTTGCTGAGCCATACATTGTGTATTACTGGCCTTATTTTTCCGATTAAAAATTTTCTAACCATATAAAATACATACAGTTTATTTACTTGATCAACTTATACCAGAACTAATATCATTTATTCTAAAAAATCTTTCGATACAGAATCTTAAAAAATGTTGCAATATAAATAATATATAAAAAGATGAGACGCTTTGAAAAATTCGCAAAAGATTAATAGTAAATTATATATTCGTTATTGATAAAGTAACTGTTAAAGCATTAATTGATCCTAAATCCTACTATAGCAGTATTAATAAAGCACTTGTCAAAAAAATGGATTTATATATTTCTAGGGAAGAAGGATCTGGATTTCTTATAGTAAAAAAACTTGGAATTAGTGCAACAAATATTAGAAAGAAAGTAATGGTAAGAGGATGGCTTCAAAAAGAAAATGTTTCCGTTATTTTGCCAAATATATTTGATAGATTAAACCCCCTTCATATTTAGGAACGGATATAAAAACTTTCATAGTTATAGATAAGCCTGAATATGATTTGATTTTAGGTAATAATTGGCTAGTAAGATTGGAATATAGGATTGATAAACGCGATGCAAAATATTGGAAAAAAAATGAAGAGAAAAGACTTTATTATACAAAAAATGACATTGATATATTTTCTCCTTTATTATATACATTCTATGAATTGTTATTCTCTGATTTTACTGCAGTTAATTCATCTGGAACTTAAATGAAGCGTAATATTCTGTAGATTTATGATTTTCATAATATTTCAGAGTATTACGTTGTAAAACAACGTGAGTTTACGAGTTTGTAAGATTTATGAAACATTACAGTGAAATCCTACGTAGGGTTACGGGTCGTATTTTTTACATATTATTACGGTCGAAATCTTATGGTATCGTAAGATTTATGAAATATTACGGTAAAATCCTACGTAGGGTTACGGGTCATATTTTTTACGTAATATTACAGTCGAAATCTTACGTAGGGTTACGGTATCATAAGATTTATAAAACATTATGGTAAAATCCTACGTAGGGTTACGGAATCGTATGAAATCTTACATAGTAATACGATTTCCCATCATAAAATTAGTGATGCATGTATTGCACTATTTAATATATGCAATGAG